ACGCTTTCAGATCTACTTCCGCCTCCCCGACTCCCCGCCATTAATGTTCAGTCACTATCAACACCCGCCTGCCCATAACTTTCTGACTGAAGTTCCCGACCCACCACAGCGTTGGTGCCATAGCTCAACAGCAGACATTCAACAATTTTTCTTTCTTTTTTTTTCTTTTACTCTTTTTTTTCTGTTAATAAGTCTTGTTGCTGTGTGCGAGATTGATTTAACGGCCAAGTTCAGCTTTTAATTGCAATGTCGTGGAGTATGTCGATACTCAAGTGCTTAGCTTCCACGAGTAAAACGAAGCTTGCAAACGAGCTGCGTAGTTCTTTTATTGCAAACGATTTGAATGTTATAATTATTTTTTTTAGTTATACTCACTATTGTTACGTTTTAGATGAAGAATGTTAGCTATTTTTAAATTATTTGACGATTTATCGCCAGCACGGCCGGTGCGTACTACCAGCTATCTCCCCATGCGTGGGGTCAGGGGGACTGATTGTGGGCCTCAGGCAGTGTTTTGTAACCATCGCTATCTTATCAACATTTGTTTTTATCTACTAACATTTAAAACTGAGCACAACTGAATGGTATTAAAGGATAAACATTTTTCATGGATTTTGACGTCATTCTGGGGTGTGTTTTTTTCACCCAAATCCATGAATTTGTTTTGCTCATGCTAAGTCTGAAAAATAATATACAAAATTCACTATTCATATATCATAATACAGTGTAACCCGGATATAAGAGACCCGGATATAAGAGAGATTTTCTCTGGTCCCAAATTAGAGTCTGTGTTATAGACCAAACCCGGATATAAGAGAAACCTGGATATAAGAGACTTCTTCTCCGGTCCCGACAACTCTCTTATATCCGGGTTACACTGTATTGAATGTGGTTAGGCAACTCCGCTTTTCGCTAAAAAGCAGCATAGCATGGTGAAAAAAGGCCCAAACTTAATAAAAACAAATTTTTATCATCAAGATGTTTATCATTATTAAGGGGAAAGACCAAAGTATCTTTTAATTATTTAAAAAAAAAATTTAAACCTTTCTAACACGTTTGAAATTTTGGTTAAATATCCTGCTTTTTTACATCATTTTTACAATAAGTGTTTTTGCGCTTTTTTTCCAGTGAAAAACTGATTTGGAAATTCTTGTAAAAATCAAATAATTGTCGCATTTTAATGAAACTTTCAGGACGTATTCACAAATGAATGAAATTATTTTTGAAAATTTTTGTTTTTGAAAATCTTGGTAATTTTTTTTTTTTTAATATGTTACCCTTCACTTCCTTTTCATGACGTTTCGAGAAATTAAATTTTAGGTCCAAATTGTTTTTATTAGTTAAAAGTAGGACCCCTTAGAGAATGTGTAAATCATCCATTTTTTTTCAGACTTTTGCTCGTTTCCTGAAAATCTCCTTCGAATGGTAAACTTAAAAATGTAATAAAACTATGACATTATTTAATTAGAAAAGATTTGAATTGCTTTTGTGAATAAGGGCAGTATTGTCTTAAGAAAATAAAAATTTTCGATGAATAATGAATTTTTACAAGAATGTTTTTCATTTTAAAAAATTTTAATTATAATAATTTATCATAATTTAAAAATCGTTTAAAATTCTGCATTACTTTATTGATTTTAGGTGACATTATAATTAAGTGGAAACTATATTTACGAATCAAAAATTGAAAAGTTCATTATAAGTCATTTGCATCAATATTTTTTAAAATAATTTTTATTTTTTTTTTTACTTTAAACACCCCCATGTTTTATATATGGTAGTCTATACGTAACATTGTTATGAAAAGGTCATGTGTTCTAAGAGTTGCCCTCTTTTTACAGAGAAATTCGCTTGTCTCCAATTCGTTATTCATTGTTTATGTTTCAACAGGTTTTGAACATCATCCCTTCATTTTTAAAACTTTAAAATTTAAAGTAAGTTTTACTTTTTTAATACCTATTTCACTAAATATTTTTATGTATTTATTTTAGTGTGGGCCATAAATTATTGAGTTACCTCTTCCATGGTATTTCATCTCAGTTATTAAACTTTAAAATTAATCTAAGAAAATTTTGTAGTATTTTAAATTTTATTATTTTTCATAAAGCATCTTCAAACTTACTTACTGGAAATAGTAAATTTAATCCTTTAGCTTTCAATTAAAACTAAAAAGAAATCTTCAAGAATGCGTTTTCACTTTAAAAAATATCATTTTAAATCTTATGTTTAAATCTTAGGTATCGAAAATTTATACCGACTTAGAGGAGGTCCCAAGGTAAAATTATTCAACTTTTAATAAGAAAAATCTCAAGTCAATGTTAAAAATTGCCGAAAAACATTGCTGATTAATTTAAGTTTTTATATATATATATATATATATATATATATATATATATATATATAGATTTCACCCATGCAAGGCAGTAAAACCACTAAGACACAAGGGGTTACTGGGTATGGAAGATTTAGAAACAGAAACATTATTAATGAGCGGGTAGAGAAAAGAGTAACCAGAAGGACAGTAGATAGCGATTGACATTGCATTTTTTTTTTTAAGATTAAAGTTGGATGGAAAGCATGAAGCCGGAAGGGAGTTCCACAAGCGAGAAAAGAAACTGTTAGCATAGAATTTAATAAATTTTGGTCAACCCCGTGTTGACTGCTTGTCCGATAGTGAGGATGTCACGTGTTTGTATGTGGTAGAGGAGAAGGGTGGGGTTGATTCTAGTTGGTTTAGAAAGGGTGAAAGCGTATTAATGATAAATATATAATCGTTATAATTATTTTATTATAATTATTTGTGACAGTATAATTATGTTTTTTTTGTCTTTTTTTATTATTATTATTTTAATGGACACGGAAAAGCGAGCACCATTATCCAGAAGGATGCTGTTGCCACCCAAAGAGGAGTTAGTCGGCGCTATGTGCAGCTACAAGATTGCCTTCGCAACGTGTGTTGCAGTTTGCTCGACGGAAGTATCACAAGACTTTGACAGAGTTTTTACATGGCGTCGGTTGGGAATATTCCTCTTAATCATCAACAATCAACATTAGAAATACTGAATATACATGTAAATATAAATATTTAACATTTAAATGATAAACACAGAACTTAACTGTGATTTTTTTCCTGTGTCTTTTTCCCTGTGACTTTATTACTAACCACGGAATTATTACTACTGTTTAACGTAGTTGTTTCCGGTCAATGCCACAAGAGAGTATCATGAAACAGATTCAGTGGTTCCTTTAAAAAATCGTTTCCTGCAGTATCGATCACTAGAAATTGGTAACAGAGGCTATTGAGTGGTCTTCTTGACGACGCAAGAATTTCCAGGCTATCGCCCTGGATCGAAGAAGAGTATTAAGCAGTGTAAACTTGTCGTTCCTTCCAGCTACCAATTTCAGTCCTAATGCTTACTGGCTAGATATACAGACCCCACCCCAACCAGAATCCTTATTCGTGAGGTTAAGCCATGGCATTTTATATTCTTTTTATCGTTTCACTCCAAGCAAAGTAATGCCACTAGGACGAAGGCAGTTACAGTGAGTGAAAGAGAATGAGAAGACTTTAAATGAGGAAGGAGTGAAGAAAGAAAGGACAATAAAGGAACAGGTTTAGGAAGACAGAAGATGGCGATTGAAGTGACATTTAAATTTTTTGAAGATTGTAGGTTGTAGGGAAGCAAAATATTGGAATGATGTTCCACAGTTGAGAAGTACGAGAAAAGAAACTTAGAATAGAAGTAGCGGTTGTACCTAGCAGGTTCAGCAGTAAGACGATGAGATCTCGTTGCCAATTTAATAGCACATTTTAAATTCTTTTAGTCAAGGCACTCGGGGGGAAAAAGCTCAGCAAAACAATTGTTATGAAAATATTTGTAGAAAAGACTTTCTACAAATATTTTCATGTCACATCGGTGAGAAAGTGACTGAAGTCGAGATGCCAGGTCAGGATCGTTTACATTACAGACCTTCATTGAATGTTCTCAAGAATCTATATCCGTATACAAACTACAAAAATACGTGGTGTAATGGTTAGGACGCTTACCTTGCAAGATCAATTACTAGTGAGTTTGATTCTCCCTAATGTGCCTTTTGCCACATTTTTAGCAAATCAATATTATGTAACATAGGCATCTTTCAGTTTAAAAAAAATTCTCTTCTCATAGAAAACGAGAAAAAAAATGATTCAAACCTTCGGCTAACCAACACCATTCAGTATGGTCATTTTAATTTTTTTTTTTTATTAAAACTAACAGTCTCTACTTTCAACAACGTTTCCAATTAAATCTTCCACAGTTTTACTATTCAACGCCTTTAAAAAAATGTCCATTTGATCGCATTCGTTAGACTGGAATGACTCCAGTCGTGGACTTGTTTTCTTCTCGGTCCAATATAAATAGTTGATTCGGCTTCGAATCAATGCACCTTCTCGTCATATGAAAGACTTCAAAGTGATTTCTTTGAAGCTTGTTACACTGTCATTGCGTTCGACGACACTACTAAAAGTAAAGGAAAAAAGCGACCGCACCCCACAACAAAAAGAAAGTAATGAAAGATAAAAAAAAAAGAAAAAAAAAAGAAAAGAGAAACAAATTAGGGATAAATAACTAGCATGGCTCAGTGGTAAAAGCTTTTTATTAAGTCTAATGAACATTAATCTTGGCTATAGCAAAATAAAAACGTTTTTTTTTAATAACCCTTAATTCCTCACTACACACGTCTCCCTCTTTCTATCTCTTTTTCGCACACACGTACACACAATTTTTTATGCCCTCCTACTAAAAAAAAAAAAATTCTGGGAATATAACCGACACTTTATTGTTTATTACTTTCGTTCGATCCTAGTTTTCACCGTCTCATTCGATGTTGTTTCTTTCTTATTTAGAGCGATCTCGAAAAGAGTATTGCTCTGAAAGGGTAGTTCAAGAATCTGTGCTACACTGTAAGCAACCGCGACCTATTGATATTCTTCAAACTCGTTCTATTCACTTCGATTTATGCCTACACTTATATCTTGGCTCTGTTCGTATCTATCTATCTCAATCTGTTCATATCTATATATCCATCTCACCCTGTTCATTATGCATCTATCTGATACTATTCACACTTGTACTATTCATATCTATCCGTCAATCCATCTATCTATCTATCTATCTATCTATCTATCTATCTATCTATCTATCTATCTTACAAGGCTTTTTTCTTCTTTAAATAGCCCACAAAGGGTTGACAAGCCGTAAAAAATCTATCTATTTCTCTCTCTCTCTCTCTCTCTCTCTCTCTCTCTCAATATATATATATATACGTTTATCAGATAATGGATTCACTTAAAAAACAAATCCCGTTAAGATTTGGGCCCATAAGCATCTCAACATCGCCCAGATTCATCCAACTTTATAACCAATAAAATTGCTCGCCCAAATCTTGCATTTCTACAGAAAAACAAATGACGGATAAAAAATAAGAAATATCAATGAAAGTTTGGAAGAAAATAAATCATCTAGAAAAAAAAATCATAAAAATAGATCCAAAAATTCTTCCTAATCTTCACATTTTGTGTTATTGCAATGGATTTGGCCCAGACAAGCAATGCTAAATATAAAAAGAAAAAATAGACAAAAGCAAAAAATTATTCCAGACATTTTCTTGTTTTTTTTTCTTTCATCCACAAATATGATTAGTCTTTATTATATTCTTTTATCTTTGTTGTTGTTGTTATTATTATTATTATTATTATTATTATTATTATTATTATTATTAACTTTTCATACCGGTAGTGTCTATTAGTTTTAGTTGGGTATCAAGTGACAGCAAGTCATGTCAAAACTTCAACGTTTGATTACTGTTAAAAAAATGTTTCATGTATTTCTGTGTTCACCAGTGGCGTAGCTGGGGGCGGCGGCGAGGGGGGCGGACGGCCCCTGGTGCCAGCACAGGAGGGGTGACACAATGCCACCCCCAACAAAATTTTTTAACCAGTTTTGTCTCCCCGTCAGGAATTTTCTAATAAATTTTCGGGAAATTTGTGAGTAGGAAAAATAGCAATGTTTTCGGCTTTTGATTTGAACTGATTATTTTGTTGTATTCGATTTTGTCTTGGATCATACATGTAAACAGTAACGAACCGGTCAGTAGAGTAAAGTAGAGGTAGAGCATGTATGAAAATTTAGCTACAGCTAACCATTCAGCATAGGGTGAATCGGGGTCATTGGGGTGACATTTGAGCGGACCGCCCCGGGTGACGTTTACTCTAGCTACGCCACTGATGTTCACAGCAAATATTTTTTTTATCGCTGAAGATTGAGTGGCAGTAAGACATCTCAAATCTCCAGTACCTCGCTCAGTATCTTGCTGGGTTTTCCATTCTTTCTAATTGTACACACTATTATGAGAACAACTCGAAACATGCTCCATATTTCTTTCAATTCACGAAGATGATATTGAAATAAAATTAACTTTCTTTAATCCTTAATCTGGAATGCGCTGATTCAGCCGCGTCTACAATCTGACAGGTCCTCTTTTTCGCTTACAATTCGCTCGCTTGGACAGAGTAATAGGTTTGAATTTCAAAGTCCAAGTTATTCATTAAGATACCTAAGATAGTGTTGATACTATTTGTTTAGATGGTCGAAGCCAAGTCGTTTCCCAGTGTAACACTGTCACGCCTGTTTTTATAATCCTTTTGTGCCAGATATCTTTATTCTCTTTATTCTTATTGTTACGGTCCGGTTCCTTGTACCACGGTGATGGTCCAAGCTAGAACCAATAAAAAAGAACTCGAACACGGATATGGAATAACACCGATATATTACAAACAGGAATATATACAGAGAAGTAGAAAATATTAGTACGAACAATCAGGTTTAGTAGGGAGAACAATGTAGTCTCGACCAGTATCACTATTCCAATGTCTTGTAGTAAATTGTCTGAACGCGACTCTGTTTCGGACTGCCTCTGACTCGACTGACTGACTCGCTCGCTCGCTCTGACTGACTGACTGACGGACTTCTGACGGACCTCACTCCAGACTTCAGACTGAACAGTATTTAGTCTCCCCCCCCCACGAGGGGCATCATGTGACACAAGGCCGGTTTAACGTGGGATCTCCGAACCCGTGGGCTCGGCCAAAAATATGCCCTTTGAACCCGTATAAACGGGTTCAGGGTCGGTTTACCTCCCCGAAAGAGACTCCGCCTTTCGGCGTAACCTCCTTCGGGTTCCTCCCCGCCCGAAGGCAGAGAGTTCAACCGATCAGCCGGTCAGCCGGTCGCCCGACTTCAGGCTGAACTGCCTGCTTCCTCTTGAGGCGCAGTATTTATTACGTATGGAATAGTCCATTATGTTATTATGGGTAAGGTCCCATAACACTTATGGTGCATTTACATCATTTCTACAGAGAAACATTAATTTTATTCAGTTACCACTCCCCTCTATCTCACAATTGTGGTTTATGGTGACATTCAAGGCAGAATAGTGCTTGCCAGAGATATTGAGGTTACCCCGTCTCTCCTCTCAGTTTGATGTTACCGAAGTTACATTTCTCTAAACTTTGCCTAAAGAGGTAGGATCTACAAGGCAACAGGTGGGTTTGAATTCAGAGTTTCCTTCTCCTAGACTGGTTGCCACATAAGGCTATAGGAGTCTGCTTTTCTATTGTACCCATAGCAGGGAGGAGAGAAGAGATGGATTCATACCTTTCGCAAGTGAATGTAACGAGATCGACTGGAATTTGAACTCGGCTTTCCGACTTCTCAATCCGAGCCGCTATCCATTACTCCACTGTGTCTTCACACAGAGAAATAAGTGATAGAAAAAATAATAACAACTGCCAACTAATGTTTGTAAGATAAAAAAAAAGAAAAAAAAAACGTAATAAAAAAAATAGATCCAGAAATTCTTCCTAATCTTAGCATTTTGTACTATTCATATCTATCCGTCAATCTATCTATCTTACAAGGCTTCTTTCTGCTTTAAATAGCCCACAAAGGGTTGACAAGCCGTAAAAAATCTATCTATCTATCTATCTATCTATCTATCAATATATATATATATATATATATATATATATATATATTCCAGGCACCACCCAGCAAGAGGTAGACTTAGTTTTATCGTAGATAAGAGAGATATTTTATTTACCAGTTTTTATTTTGCACACAAAATGTTTTGACTGATTCTAAGTTAATATTCTCTCATTCGAACATGTTCCTTTCATAGGAGTGTTTCCAGTAATCTTGAAAAAAGTGCTGCTGTCAAGGCATTGTTGCAAAAATTCGTACGATATTTGGATCGCGCAAGTCAGTCATTTATGTGCCATACGTGATACACGCTTAGGCGATCATCTATCTTTCGATACATGACTAACGAGGTAGATTTTTCCTGCAGTAGGTTGCTATTTCTTTCTGCAGTAGACCAGTTGCCATCCAAGGCTATAGAACCCAGTCTGTCCTGCTACTTACCCATAGATGGGGGGAGGAAGAAAAAAGGATTCATACCTTTCCCAAGGATATTAGCACGTAAGTGAATGTAATGGATTCGACTGGAATTCGACTCTCCGATTCCTCAATCCGAACCGCTATCCATTACTATCCATCGTGCCTCTTATCGCGCAAGATCTATTGAAATTACACAAGCTCGTTCTATTCGTTTTTATCTATCTATCTATCTATCTATCTATCTATCTATCTATCTATCTATCTATCTCGTTCTATTCGTTTCTCTGTTTTTACCCAGTTCTGTCCGTTTCTATCTATCTATCTATCTATCTATCTCGTTCTATTCGTTTCTCTGTTTTTACCTAGTTCGTTTCTATCTATCTATCTATCTATCTATCTATCTATCTCGTTCTATTCGTTTCTATTCGTTTCTATCTATCTATCTATCTATCTATCTATCTCGTTCTATTCATTTCTATCTACCAAAGCTTCTCAGATAAAGGATTTAGTTTTTTTTTTAATCACGTTAGGATTTAAGCTCGTAAGCATCTCTACCTCGTCCAATCTTACATCAATAAAATCTCCCTCTAATTCAAATCTTATGGAATGTTAGAACGCTAAAATTCCATATGATCTGTATTAAAACAGAGAAAGTCTTTTGTTGGGTGTAGGCCTCCCTCCGATCTTTCCTTTTGCCTTTCTTATTGGAGGAATGGGCCATTACCCTACCGCGTTGGCTAATTGCATGTTGGTAGGGACTTACATTAACTGGTATTCCCAAGCGGTCGCACATCTAGGGACTGACCAGGCTTTACGTTATTTAACTTTGGTGTTTCAAAATGATATGACTGTAAGTTCTTATAGACTAAGATATCATAATCTATCAATGCGGAAAAAAAATAGAAAAAATAAAAGAGACTTAATTTTGGGAAAATAATAATCTAAAAATAACAAACAGCCTTTGGTTTGTATTGATACACCATTTGTACAGATGATCGTAGCCAAATTGTTTCCCAGCAAATCTCTGTTCCCCACACTGTCATGCCTGTTTTTGTATTCCTTTTGCGTCAGCTGCCTTGATACTGTTATGGTGCACTTACAGTTGGAATGCTAGAACACCGTATCTATAGGGAAAGTTGGAAAATATGAAACAGGAGATGAACCGACTGAAGATTATCATTCTAGGAAACAAGATGAAAAGAAAATAGTTTTGTAAGCGACAATCGCCGAACTATATACTCAAGTGGAAATAACAATGAAAGAGGAGTCGGTCTAATATTGAACAAAAATATATCTTTTTGGACACTGGCAACAATCAGTTCTTAGCGGTGGAAATGAAAGAGAAGTCATTCAATATGGCAATCGCAGATGTCTATATTAAAAAAAAACAGATGACGTTTACAATACACTTGAAAATGCAGAATCTCATAGCAAATCACTAAAAATTGTCATCATCATCATAAGGGAAGCTAAACACAAAATAGGAAGAGAAAAACTTGAAAAAAAAAAGACGTAAACTTGGAATACTCAACGTCCACGAGGAAAAATGGGTTCAATGCTGTACAGTGAACAGAGAAGTAGCAACCAACCCGTGGTTCGAAGAATATCCTAGATACTTGTTGAATTCGAAAAGCGCAGAAGACATTGAGTCAAACACACTACTTGATCATCAATAAACGATTTAGAAACACAATTTTGAACGCAAAACGATATCCAAGCGCTGACTGCGGGAGTGATCACCTCACAGATATAAACTAATTAGAAACAAAGCAATACTTATGTATGCTATTTATATTCGGATTATTGTCCTCATGTTTGCTGTACCGGAGTACACTTTGTGATAGCAACAACAAAGATGGGGACAATAGTCCGAATATAAATAGTGTAAATAATGATAATCCCTCATACTAGAAATTCAGACAAAAAGCAATACCTAGATTACAATATGAAAACATCCACACACAAAGACTCTATTTGTAAACAAGTATATGCGGCGGCCGTTAATAGCAAATATGAAGCTTGCATAGATTGCAGTTGAGATTTCAAAAAATGCTGTATCTTCATTTGGTTAATGTCATAGATAGCACTATCAAAAATAAATACCATCTGGAACATTCTCTCCATATAGGAGTAAATAGGTTTGCAACCCTCAACTCTTCTTACTCTCATTCTCTTTCCCTTTCATAGTCGTACGGCGTGTCGTCTCGATCGAGTTGATTTGGATTTCCCAGAATCTTACAATATTGGGATTGGCGGTGAAGTCTCTAGTGAGAATTAATATGTACGTTTTGTACCACAGACAAGATGCGTAATTCCTATCTACGGTGTGGTAATTTTTGTCTTTGCATCCGGGACAATGTTGGGAATGAGTGCTGGAATAAGAACTCCTTCAATAAAATGACACTGTTGGTAATACTAACAACAGGTTTATTGAATATAAAAACTGGTAAATAAAATATCTCTCGTATCTACGATAGAACTAAGTCTACCTCTCGCTGAATGGTGCCTGGAAAATATAGCAGTAATTGCTATAAATTGGTGAAAGTAAGACTGCCTGTCGGCCCTCGCTTAATTCTCTTGTTTTGCGTGTGTCTGTGTGTTTGCTCCAGTAACGAAATGAGCGTGTGTTCTTGTGATGCAATGGCTGCCCATGCAACCTAGAGCAAAACTCTAACGACTCTCTCCCGTGCTCGACATTTTTTTATGTGTCCTTGGGCATTGTGGGTCTTCGTTTATATAAATACCCCTCTAGGTTGATATATCAAATTTCTCCACTTCCGATCGCCCTAATCTTAGGAAATATTTTTAATGAAACACATGACTCTTTGTTTAAGAATTTTTTGGTGACTTTTTTTCTGTAAGGATAATACTATTTTGGGTTGATAGTATTAATATAAACAAACTCCAAGTTTGGAATTTAGGAATAAACACATGGCCCGCTTTGTTTAAATGAAAATGGGTTACTCATTTCTGTAAGGATATAAGCACTTCGGACGGACATCATTAATGTAAACAAAACCCAAGAAATTAAGAAATTCGGACAACACATTAACCACGTCTTCTTAACAGAGAGAAGTGGGTAGGTTGGGAATAAATTTGGCTTTGCTCAATAATACAGGTTCTTGGCTAGTTCGATTCTCTTTGAAACAGTTCTTAAATTTATTTTTATTGTTTAAAACATCATTATTAACTCGTTTCTTTTTCTAGCCTTCTCTCAAGCCTTCAATCTGCTCATCCGAGAATTTTAATAATTATTATTGAATTAGCAATCCCTAAACGTTTGAACAGGATCAGTTTCCTGTTACAGTTTTGCGTACTTAGCGATTGATCGTATGTAAGAGTTCCACTTGAGATTTGGGGTGAGTTTAAGACGCAATAGTCGCTCAAAGCACGGGACCTCCTCGACTAGACATCCATTCATCGTGACTAGTGGTAGTTCGTGGTCTGATCGACGATGATGGAATGTAACTAGTTTGCTTTTTGAGGTATTGAATGCAACCAGCCAGTTTTTCCCCCAATGTTAGAGCTAGATCAGATGAAAGATCAGCTGCCAATTTCTGGTCATCACGAGTTTTTGATGTGCACCCATATATCGTTGTATCATCGCCATAGATTATCACAAATGATTTGAGTACATTCTTAGGCCGATTATTTATGTAAAATAAAAAATGGTTTTGTCTAAGAAGTGACCCCTGGGGGGTCACCTAAGTTGATTACTAGGGTTCCGGAGGACTGGCCGTTAACAAATAACTTCAGAGACCTACCCGTTAGAAAGAACTTTGGATACTTGGCTTTATTCCGATCTTAGCAATGTAGGAATTTAACTTCGATGGTATAGGTCCCAACACCATAATGAAAATTATGGTCTGAACGTCCCGTTTTCTAAAAACTTCAACCCGGAGGTTGCTGTATTTCTTAAGCCTGTCAATTTTTTTGACCGTGATATTATGGTCACCGGGAACAGCAACGAGGAGGCATTTTTTGTTAATGATGGTGACGTCTGTTATTATTCTCCGTTTTTTTTTCCTCCGGTAATATTTGATGTTCCTAGTTCGAGATCAAGTGCCAACAATTTCAACTATCTATCACTTCTCTCAGTACCGATTTCAATAATGCTACTCTCAGAATACTTCTGATTTTTCCTCTAATCTCCAATTCTTCTAAATACACCAATTATGATGGCTACAGACATCACCTTCCTGTTCTACAATTTTTACACGTACATTTTTACTTCAGTATTCAGTCGTAGTCTCCGGGAATAGCAACATCCACTAACAGATTTTCTATATCCATATTACTTTAAAGAGGGATTGGCAATAAAGCATCAATTACTTCACTGTCATTCTTGAAGAAAATCGGAATAGAAATGATCACTCAAAATGTCAAGAAATACTGGAAACCGGATCCCAGTAATAGTGACGAAATCACAATGAAAAAAACTGTGTATCTCTGGAGATTAAAGAAAACTCAACGACAAAAAAAAAACTTATAAACATCAGAAATTCCTAAGCAAATTACATAGTAAGTTATTCCAGACCCATCCTGAATCGGACAAAAGAACTTTGAATCTCGCAATCTTCCTGTTCACACTCCTCCTCGGTCTTTTGAACAGGAGTAGATATTTATCCCTTGTTTCCTGTTTAGGAGTGAGTTTCCGGTTCCTTCTAAAGTCTTTTTCATTCACTTTCACCTCCAGTAGCCCCTGGCATCTTAGTGGCATTATCGCCTCGCTTGGGTGAATTGATTAAAAAAATCAGAAAATTAAAGGTTCTGCATAAAGCCCTATACACCAGAGACAATAGTAACAGACACTATATAAAGAGAAAAGAAGGTGGTAGTGAGCCCAACGCTATTGATGGATATATCGAATGTACAATCAAAGAAATAGCGGACTACAAACAAGAATGAGATATTCATGATTGCCAGAAGTGCAGCAAAGCCGTTGAAAGAACAAAACATCTTGGAACCAAAAAAATTTAAAAAAAAAATAGAAATTAAAAATGATTAAGAATTTGAATTCTTGGAGAATTTGAAACGCAAATAAATTTTCACAAGCAATAATCTAGACATTATTCTACAGAGGACAACTGCAAAAAAAGTGTCAGGTTAGAACAAGTACTTTAGCATGAAAGACAATAAAATAAATAAATATAAGTAAATATTTTTTTAAAAAGCTACAGTGTATACCTCGTGTGTATATTTATACACTTGTGTGTATGTGTTTGCGTATTTGAACGTTTAAAACATAGAAAAGTCTTGCTGGAGCTATTTTCCAGTGTTGATAGAGTCCAAAAGCGTCAACATGTCATTGGTGGGTAATTAATTATTTTCCACCTTACAACACGTTACCCGGAAACGAAACATTGCTGGCTACTCCATATTTTATCATTACTTCCATGGAAAATGTTCAAATGAGTTACATTCTTTAGTCCCTCCAACTATAAGCCTCCCAGCTAAGACAC